CATCCATAATCCATCACATGGTCCAATCTTCTTCTTCCACGCTGGTGTCTCCACCCAGCTGTTTCCGGTCAGGTGCAAAGGTGCAGAGACAAAAGATGATCTTGAGCTTCGAGCAAGGAGTTTTTTATTTTAAAAACAACACATTCTACCCCTTGCTAGTGTCCCCCCCCCCCTCTTAATGAGAGTGTGGCAGGCCAAAGATTCTTAAAGGAACCACTGCAGGCCTGACACACAGCACAAAAAAGAAGGACCGGGGGAAGGGGGGGACGAACAAGCCATATTGGGATTTGCGTTTCATAACAAAGCAGGCCATCCTGTTTGCACCCCTGCTGAGTTCAAAGTGAGAAGCGTTGCGTTGAAATTCTTAAGCGCGGAGCCTTTGGGGGAAAATACGCATTTGGTTGCTACGAGGAGCTCCTTCGTAGATTCCCATCGGCTTTTCCTGCTGAATGATCGTCTTCTCTGCTCTCAGATTTCCGGTGTTTGACATGGCAACGAACTCCAACCAACCACCCCTCTGGGGGTTTGCAAAAGTTGAACGTATACTCCTCTAGGGAATAAATATGCAATTTGCGCGATTTTCCCGGCAGGAGGAAGCAGCAGCCAGTATCCCCTGAGGCAGTTGACTTCTACAGCTGCTGCACGAAAGAAATTCCCGAGTTCGTTTTGGGTTCTAAAGGCAGCGGCCCTCATGGTTTTGTGCAGGCCCAGGTGTGCATGTTATGTTGCCTCTCTCTCTCCTGCGGGAGCAGCCAATTTACTTGCGGGTTTCATTCAAGGTGCTGGTGCCTACCTTCAAACGAGTGGTGGGTTCCGGATCCCGTTGCAACTGGTACGCTGTGACGGGGCTGCATGCAAACCCACCGCCTGCGATGCTCCAGCTGCTCGGTGGAGTATCGTGCGGGCGCCGTACGCTGCATGTGCATGTGCAAATGGCTAGGTTGGGTCAAATACAGCTCAGGAATGAGGGCGGGCGGACCCTCCGAAGCACCGTACTGAAACGGTGCCTGCTGCTCCCAGCAGGCACCGGTACGCCCATACCGGGGCGTACCGCCCACAACCCACCACTGCTTCAAACCATATCTTGGTCCCAGGTTATCTGAAGAGTCTTGTCTTCCTGGTTACATCCACCTGACCCATCAAAGCAGGAAGGAAAGGAATTTTTTTATTTATTATTTTATTTTATTGATAAAATTTATTAGCCACCCATCTTACCATAGGGCAGGGGTGTCAAAGTCAAATTCATTGAGGGCAGCATCAGGGCTGTGGTTGACCTTGGGGACGGGTGGCTGGCTGGGGGTGGCCAGCTTGATGCCACTCACTGGGCGTGGCCAACTGGGTGGGCATGGCCAGCTTGACACCACTTTCCAAATTGCTGGCATGTTTCCTCTTTGCACTGGGTAGACTGGGCCGAAGCCACACTGGCCCAATGTTTCCTCTTTGCATTGGGTAGAATGGCCTGAAGTGAAGCGGGCTGTCCCCTTACATTTTCCAGGACCACTTTCCAGGGTTCAATTGTGGTCGCAAACTGAGGACTCTTATCATGTCCCCGTCATTCTAAGGGTGGGGACTGCTGGTTTTCTCAAGGCTTTCCACCACAGTTGTGTCTTTTCTGCTCCGGGCAGCGCAAGAATGGCTTGAGTTTTCATTTGAACACTTTTAAACATCCATTCCAAATCAGAAACTGGAAAGAAACTGCATGTTAAAGCCCGTAACGGGGTCTAGCATAAGGCCACCCACCCAAGCTCCCCCTCCTCCTGTAGTAGTAAAAGGAGAAACACATTATGAGATGAAAAAAATCTTAGATTCCAGGATGCATTGAGGTCGCTTACAATATTTGGTACATTGGAAGGGGTACCCTTTGTCTGAAGCTACATGGGTGAAAAGTTGGGATTTAAAAGCAGATAAATTAGTGAAACAATTCCATGAGAAGTTCCCTGATAAGCCAAAGGGTCCCCCTGGGGGAGGCAGGGGTGGTTAGTTATATATAGTAACCTTTATTTTAATTTTCTTTTTCAGAAACTGTTTCTCTTTTGAAGAGAGGCTGCCTGTCAGGCCTGCAGCGGTTCCTTTA